CATCACCTGCTTCATGGATCCCACACCTGCCTCTTTCTCGGTGGACCCCTTCATCTTAGCAGAAGCCCCCCTCCAGTAGCATCCTGAGACGGGGAGCATGGAAGGCAAATTTGGGAGGAATCTGCATTTGGAAAATGTCTCTGAAGCCTCTGCTGCGGTGTTATTTGGCTGGGTCACAACTACACCGCAAATTGCTTTTCCTCAGAACTTTGAAGACTTTTCTTCTGCTTTTCGGCGCTGCTGCTGGGAAGCCCACACGTGATCGATAGTTTGGCTGGGTATAGAGCCCCAGGGGGCAAGTCAGCTTCCAGGGCCGTTGTTGAGAAATCCAGCGTCATCCCGCACCGGGTCCTTTATATGGCTCTTCTTTTTGTTTTTGCTTTCCATTTTTGCTTTCTGGAAGTCTTCAGTGTTCCTTTTATCCCTGGTATTCTAAAATTTCACAGTAATTTGCCTCTGTGTGGGTCTTTTTGTCGTTTGCTGTGTCGAGCATGTGGTGGATCCAGACAAGGAAACGCGTGATTTCAGTTCTGGGGGTTCTATGCGTGTGTTGCTTCCTTGAATGTTGCCTCCCCTGCGCTGTCTCCATCCCCCCCGCCTCCTGGAGCCCGGACCCTCTGGGTGCGGAGTGCCCTCGATGGACCCTGCAGTCGCCTTCTCTTTCTTCCCTATTTTCGTGTGTTGATGGGTTTTTGTCTTACCTTCGGAGAGTTCGCCTCACGCATGTTCCAAATGTGGTGTTATTTAAAACTTTTATTTCTGGTCTGTTAATTTTAATTTTCAAGAGCTCTGTTTAACTCTCAGTGTGATTCTCCACTGTTCCTTCTTGCATTCTGTTTTTGGCTTTTTGGAGGCAATATCTTTTCATCTCTCGGACGGTATTACTTACTCTGATGATATTTTGAAATCCAAACATATTTAAAATGGGTCCTAAGATCAGACGAAAAGTTCTCCAGGGTTGAGAGGGGCCTGCCAGTGGCTGAAATTCACTCCAGGGTGGTCAGGTGGGGAATTAACCACTGAGAACATAAGCCGCGCACCCAGGTTCACACAGGCCACTGGTGCAGCTGAGACTCGCACCAAGGCCGTCTCACTCCCGCATCGGCGCCCTAAGGCGCTGGCCTCCCAGAGCAGCAGCCGCAGCTGGCATTGAGTAGGGGCTTTCCGCGTGCCAGGCGCTGTTCTAGACCCCTAGAAACCTGACATCAATTTAGCCCTCGCAGCAGCCCGTGGGAGCAGGCGCTCTGAGCACCCGTGGTCGGCGAGCAGCCTCGGACGCGGAGAGGAGGCGCAGCCGGCCCATCTGGGGAAACAAAAGGCCAGGTGACTCCCAAGCCCCAGAGTTACTACGAGGATGAGATGAGAGAACACACGTAAGAAACATGCACGTAATAGAGCCTCAGCAAGTGTCATTTTCAGTAAAAAGCCTCGCCTCAGCTCCCCCACCGCTGGCCTGGGCTTTGGTTTCTTTAAAACCAGAAGCTCCAGTGAGGGGCTCCCTAAGGTGTCTCCTGGCTGCAAACTTCCAAGCTTCCAAGCGCTAGGCTGCACAGTGAGGAGGCCTAACCCGGAGGAGCCAGATGGGGTGGGAGTGGGGGCAGTGGGGGGGAGCGAGGCCCCAGGGACGGGGGAGGACGGTCTGGGGGTGGGAGCGCCTGTGACGTGGTCCGGACCTGGGCCCCGGGCCTCGCTCCCGTGTTCCCAAATGGCTGTGAACTTCAAATACCAGACGCCAACTGACACATGAAAAGGAACACATGTAACCACTTACGGGCCAATTAATATCGGGCGGGCAGAAAGCCACAGGGCGGGGAGGCCGCTGAGGCTGAAGCGAGCAAGCTTCCGGACCTCGGGCTGAAGTGGGTTATTATGTGTCATCAGGAAACTTGAGAAGGGGGGAAAAGCAACCTCTGATCAAAGCCCCTTTTGTCACCTTCGAGCAGATTAATAGACGACAGATTCTGCACTTAGAACTCTGCTGAAGGTCAAGGGCGGTGAAGCAGCTCGGTGGGACTTTTTTCCTTCCTGCAGCTTCGAGGCTGCAGAGCTCATCGCTCTGACGGCCTGGCTGCCCGAGACAGCGCTGAGAAGGCCCGCCTTCCCCAGGGCTTCTGAGGGGGAGAGCAGGGGCTCCTTTTTCAGTACAGATGAGCCAGGCTGTCTCCTGCCCGCCGCCCCTTCTCTGCGCAGGCTCCTGCTGGGGGTCCCTCTCTCCCTGCAGCCCCAAGCTCATCACGCCACGGCCCCCAGCTCCCCTGTTACAGCCTCGTGGTGACCCTCCATGGACCATGGAAGGAAGACACACTTCTAAAGCTGGCTTCAAAGTCCTTCAGTGACTTGGCCTGGCCCCCATCACCCCGGTGCATTGATATCAGCCACACCAGACTACTTGAAGCTCCTCAAATCCGCCTTGCCCTCTGCCTCCACAGGCCGAACTTCTCCGCCACTTTTCATCTTCCCATCAATTTCCTAGACCTCCATCAAGGCTGTGCCAGTATCAGCTCCTTTGGGAAGCCTGTTCTGACCCCTCTCCCCGGCCTGCCCCCCCAGCCCAAGGAGGTACTCTGACCTCTGTGACCCCCAGACCCTCACACGCACAGCGATTGGCATTTATAATAATTTACCCTTATTCCAGGGCCACAATCTACCCATAGGCCCACATTCCCGCTCGGCTGTTTGCAGAGACTGGTGTGCTGCCTGGCGTGGAACGGGGCTTCCTGTCACGCAGAGACAGGGGCGCTCTGGTGACGCACCGAGGCGTGAGAGGTTGTGGGGAAGACCCCAATGTCGCCCTAATAGCCCCTCCCCAGCCGAAGCTGTGACTCGCTCCTGACCAGCAGACAGTGGTGAAGGTGATGGGCTGTCACTGTCACGATCTGGTTACGCTGTGCGGCGAGGGTGAGAGGCTGGCGATCTCACGATGACGTTGCTTTACAGCCAACTCTGCTGGCAGGTGGGAGTGAGCGGCCTCCTCGCCTGCCTGATGAAGTTAGCAGCCATGCTGAGGAAGCCCAGATGGCAAGCAACTGCGGGTGGGCAGGTGCAGGAAGGCCTCCAGCTCCCAGCTAGTGAGGAGCAGGGCCCTTGGTCTTACAGCCACAACCCGAGTGAGCTTGGAAGTGGGCCCTCCTCCAG